AACTAACCTAACCTAACCTAACCAAACTAACCTAACCTAACCTTACCTAACCTAACCTCAGAGATGTATAAGCAAACACCCACCTTGTTGCGATGGACGAAACAATGCTTCGTATTTTGTGGGCCTTCCTTTGGTATTTCTCATTGGTCTTTCAAGAAAGGTTTGAGAAGTTGTTACGTTGTTAACAACAGATCATAGATGAATGGTTATGTTTCACAGAAGACAACAAACATATTCTGACCATGGTTAAGCATAAAACTGGTCTTAAATTTGATGCAAATAATAAAAAGTTTTAAAAGGATTTAGTAGATTAAATTGGGGACACGTATTTAGCAATTGACACCATCTGTTAAAATCTCGTAACAAAGAAAGCTGTTTTTACGGGACACGTGTTTAATAATTGACACCATCTGTTAGAATCTCGTAACAAAGAAAGCTGTTTTTAGTAAATGGTAACAATAGAAACGGTTAGTATGACACACTGTTACCTGAACCTGCTCAAGCCACGAAGCAGCGAAATTTAGTCGAAATATCTGAACGCAAGATCCCACGTAGGAAATGCAGGCGTAGACGAAAGAATCCTTTTAAATATTGTCTTTAATGTAACGGAGTGACTGATATTTGTGAAGCCACAGCGCAAATACGTCGTTTATGGGACATCAGACACAGACTTGAACCGAGGCCTGCGTTTTCGATGATTTCTTTGCTCCTAAAATGCTGACGTCGCCTCTCCGAGTTCTTTTGAGTCAACTGCAACGTGCGAGCCGGTTTCTTTACTTTCAGACAGAAAACAGAACGCAAATAAAAGTGTCCGAACAGCGAAGAGGTTTCTTTACTTTCAGACTTTCTTTAATATACAATACGAAGGGAAGGTAATTTGATATTTCAACAGAATATTTTGTAAGTACTGTAAGATTCGTAGGATATCTAAGACTGCTGTTGGTAGATAGTCCCAATGCCAGAACAAATTTCATCACAATCCGTCCATTGGTTTTCCAGAGGTCATCGAGTTGGATCATCCGGACAGACCAGCCCATAATTCATTCTCTCGATATAAAAATGCAAAGAACGCATAATAAAAACAGAGGAACGAAGGTGTCTTGCAATTTAACGCAGAGACCGGCATTCTCATGAAAGAATTTCCCACTTTAATAATATTCCCGTTAAACAAGTGGAGAGAAAGGGCCGTCAACATTTCACAGAGACGTTCCAGCCTCCTCTGTGTCCAAGGTTTTTTGGCAATGGCGGTCGCCTTATTACAACAGCCTGACTCGGATTTCGTACTTCGATTGTTTTTAAGTAGGCCCAAAGCTTCTTTCGTCAATTTTGCTTTGCTGTACCAATTAGCCACGACCCCCCTTCTCATGTCAGCGAGCTCTTCACAAGGCTTAATCTAAACCTCTTCATCTCACGCTCTAATTAAGACCTACGATAAAAGCCGATTTGTTTAGAAGCGATTTATTGAAATTAGATTCAGTGGCGTCGTGCTTAAAACAGATCAGCACTCACCATTGAAATTAGATTCAGTGGCGTCGGATCGTCACTAAGTCGTGCTTAAAACAGATCAGCACTCACTCGGAGATATATTTAAATTTCAAAGCGACTTTGTAATCTGCCAGAAAATTTTCTTATGGCTTATCAGTTAAGAGTAATCACACAGGTAGGTCTGTTATTCATTTGTTTAAGAAGCAGGAATCAAACAACATTTATTTGTCTGACAAACTATGGGTCATCCACGTGAACTTCCCTCGATAACTTCTTTCGAAGAAGTTATTTTGGGTTGCGATTCCGTGTGAAGTAGATTATTCTAGGAAATATACTGTCTCCATCCTCAGGGCTGAATAAAAATATATTAATTATACTTAAAAATAAAATCACAGCTGGCTAAATGAAGCACTGACGTCAAAAAATATTAATATTCGCAGAATGTAAGAAATTAATTAAAATTCGCACGTGTTGGGTAACTTAACCTAATCACATGACGTCCATGAAGAACTTAAATATATAATATAATTCAAGTCTATACACAAACTTTAAATTGTTGATGTTAAAATTTAAAATTAATATCGTTATTACGATGAATAGCGCAAAATATCAATATTAATTTTAAATTTTAACATCAACAATTTAAAGTTTGTGTATAGACTTGAATTATATTATATATTTGAATTTAAAACACAAACATGACGCATTTAAACTATAAAAATGAAGAACTTAATAAAGAAAATTTCGTTATTTTTCGAGACGAAACGGACATGGTCATCCTCACGTGTGAGTTAGCATCGGACACATCTCGCACGCGGCCCCACAGAACTTACGTCAAAATCATTCGTCTTACGTTCTTGTCAATCAGAAGAAGTAAACCTCGCAGTTTCTTCGCTCCACGAAGGGAGAGACGTATTCTTTACGAGCGTCGTATTACGTTCAACTGCCTGGCGTCGTTCGAGTCATATGACGTCAAATAAAGTCGCATTTGCCGGGTACAACACAGCATCCGGATAAAAGGGCGAGCTTTTATTGAAACAGTAAATCTAAGTCCGCATCATCCTGACATTTGTCAGCCTTTTGTTTTGCGTTTATTTGGAAAAAGGACTCAGTTACATTCGACGTATAAATAAATCTCTCCGAATAGGGGGGGGGAGGCCTCGGCGATACGAAACCTCATTTCGGTCTCATGCTTTCTTATCAGAGCGGCTGCATTAGTTGTTCCAGATGACAGAAAGATCTTAAAGTTAAGCTTCTTACTTCAATGCGAAACCCGGAGAAACAGAGAAAGGATTAGTTACTTTAGACCTCAGACAGGAAGCATCTTCGGGCACATGAGGGCCAACAAAAGTGGAAGGAGATATGACCCCAAATAACGCACTAAAGGATAAAATAAAAAGAAATCAGGTTTCAAGTTGCGTCATTTGTAATTTTATCGAAGGAAATACCCAGGAAGTGCTCGCCGGTCGGGCTTAATCACTATTTCAGACGATGTAAGTTTTCACGGCGCTGACTCTGAAGATGGCTGTCTTCTGTATCAAAAGACTGCCTCCATTTTCAGGGCGATTACGGAATCAGAAATGACCTCTGAAACGTCGGTAAATTAGTAAAAGACTGCCTCAATCATCAGGGCGATGAAGGAGGCAGCGAGTTTCTCCGAAACGTCGGTAAACTTCTACCAGACTGCACGGCGCTATAATCCATAATACAGAAATCTTTGAATTCTGACCGTGTTCCTTATTCCTCCGAACTTCGCGGCTTATCCGCGTGATGGCGGAACTGGCTCACCATTCTTCGATTTGAACAAACGTGGATTCACGCCAGATCACATTTTCCGAGATTTGATTTATTTCCCAAAAGACTGCGTATCTGGTTAAGCATAAGACTGTCGAAGTATTGTTGATGGTAGCCTTTGAACATGTCTCCACGGACTGGACCTCGCAGTCAGTGACCCTGTCCTCGAGATTAATTACGTCGATAATGTCTCCTTGAAGAAGAGTACAATTTGTATTCTTTTTCGTCAGAAGTACAATATTAACCTAAAGCGTGTGCTTGATCACTGAGTTCGAGACTAAATGCCATCGGGCATGCGCTGTGAGTTAGGTTAAAGTTCGTGCCGTCTGGCATGGTTTAAAATTCCTTATCGTTCAGTGCCAGATTCAGGCTGTTCTAATTCCGAAAAACATTTTCAAAAGTTTCTGAATTCGCTAACACACGGACCTCATGTGATATCATACCTTTACGCAAGGAAATGTAACAGATAAAACAAGGTCATTTTTTTCGAGTCTGTGAAAACCTAACCGAACCTAACCTAACCTAACCGAACCTAACCGAACCTAAGCGAACCTAAGCGAACCTAACCGAACCTAACCTAACCTAACCTAAGCGAACCTAAGCGAACCTAACCGAACCTAAGCGAACCTAACCGAACCTAACCGAACCTAACCTTCAGGTCTTCAAATCATCCTAAGATTGACAGCATTGAAGGCGAGTCCTAGTAGACTAAACTGATAAAGTACTTGGAAGTTTAGATGAAATTAAATGGCCGACAGATTCAGACATTTGTTTGAGAGACGCCCCACATCATAAATCTGGAAAAAAAAGTTAAAATATGAGTGACATTGCTCAACAGCAAATTCAACTACAGAGCAAGGAGTCGAAGCGATCGACGGAGCTGACACACTGACCACATCTAGAGCAGAAAGATGTTAAAAGTTTGTTCAGAAGCGCGAACTCACTCAGACACACCCTGTAGTTTTCTAAAAGACCACGAACCTCGGCTGTTACATTCTCGCCCGGAATCATTCGCTCGGTGTTTGACAGGGGAAGAAGGACGCCAAGTTACTTATCACAGCAAATAGATCGATTCTTACATAAACACGAGAGAACTCGAGGATCTGCCGATTCTAGCAAATGCGTGGAAAAACACCAGCAATTTCAGGAAAGCATCAAAATCACAATTACTGTAGATTACGCTAATAATTCTTGTGTTTATTCGGAATCATAATGACTTAAGTCTCATTTGCACGGATTTTCAATTAAGAAAAATTGTTTTATCTACTTTTTGTCCACGTGTTCTAGAAATTCTTTCTGTAGTCCGACACGTGTCGGCGTAGCTTACTCTCTCGTACGCATTTCCACTTCCGGAACTGGAAACTTCCACTTCTGGCGATGGAAACCGTTTGATCCATTCCGTTCGACGTCTTTTTGACGGCGAAATTTCAACTACGGGAAGAATTATTCATCTCTTTATCTTCTCCGGAGATTTCATGTAATTCTGTATGGAAGAATTGAAATGAAATCAGCGCTTACATGAAGTCATTGTTATTATTAGTAATAGTAGTTAAGAGTTAGTTACAAGGAAATTAGTATGATGTTTACTTAAATGTACGCCCTGATGATGGAGGTAGCAAGGACCTCTGAAACGTCCGTAAAGTTCTGCACGGCGTAACAACCCAGAAGACAGCGACCTTCAGACTCACCGCCGTGAAGAACTCAAATCCTGCCTAGAACTGACTTTTCTGGATTTCGAACTGACAGTAACTGAACTTTAACTGGCATTTAATAAATATTCCATACAGATTCAAGTAACGTGTTCATTGAATAAGATTACGTGTTGCCAAAACACGTCTTGAATGAATAATTCTCTGAAAATTCAGTGATGGATACATCACACTGAAAATTGTCCGACATGATTGCAACGTAAATTATGCTCTGTTTCTACAGATTAGCGGGTGAAATTATCAGGTAAACGTAAATGGCTTAGAGTCTTAGAGACATATGACGAATATATTACGAACTCGATATCTATAAATTCATTTATCGATAATGGCGATAAGTGATGAGTTCTGACGAGGGTTAACTGGATCCAATCAAAGGGAAGGCGCCCTTAAGAGAGCACACGGGCCCACGGCGCTGGACTTTGGAAGACAGCTGGAGAATTATCAGCAGCACAAACGTTCGGATTTACCTTGTGACGTATTTTCCGTCGAAATATCCGTACAAAATTTTCGATTCCTTTGACACCGCGTAGTTTTTTAGGTCATGAAAATGAAGAATCAGCAGAAAACTTTCCCGCGTCTTTGAGGCCCGACGGAATTTCCAGAAAAATTGTGTTGGATTTCGATTTGCTACGAAGAAATTTACACCGATCTCATAACACGAAAATCTCATCGCCCCCAGCCATGAGCCACGTATGAAGACATTAAGAAGTCAAAAGTTACTAAATACACAACTAAAAGACATAGTTCATTGAGTGCAGCATCTAAAAATCTACGTTTTTTAAACAGTCTCAGTGTCATTACAGATGCTAATTAAGTTATCTTAAGTCTTTGTATTTTCATCTCAATTACCACTCATTATCCATGATAAGGATAACAATAATTCTGTAACTTTTTTACGAATTACGAATATCGCATCCTCATTTGAGGTTCGTATTACAAGTTACTGATGTTCAGAGATTGTGCTTTGAATTATATCAATGACAGATCAATCTAATTTAAGAACACAAAGGCTGTGGAGTATGCATGCCTCTTAATTGAAGAATCATCGCATATATATATATATATATATATATATATATATATACTTGATTGCATATGCACGAAAATGCCGAGAGAGTTTTGGCTCTGAAGGTTTCTAAATAATTATTTCTGTGTTAAATTAATTATCTAACACGTTAACAAGCTTTCGCGAATAATTTGGGATGTCAAATTCATTCAGGCTGTAAAACATATCTAGAACCACCTGAGTTCAAATTGTGAACAACTGTCGTAACTTCGAGACATGTCACTTAAAATATCTTAGGAATTTAATTTTTTTTTGTAAAATACAATTAAGCTACTTTTATTTCATGAATTTTTCGTCGTAGGTCCGTCCCTGTCACCACGGCATTGCGAGTAATCAGGTTTACTGCAAATGTATTCAATAAGCATTAGCGGACAGCCGACGAGGGGTGGTCTTCCAGCTTAGGGGTTTTATGTTACGAAAGGAATAAATTATTATTATTATTTCGGTATAAATTGAATTAAAATGCATCTACATTACTGGTCTGTACCTGCTTACGTAATTATTCAACAACAAAATTGTTCATCACACTTTATCTGGAACGATTCGTTTTACAGAGATCAAACTTTGGTAATCATAATCTACTCAGATCCAAGCGAATAGTTACAGAGAGCTCCAATATCGACTTTGGCACAAGAAATCCGACACATGGCAACACAAATCGAGATAAAAACTCAGCAGATATCGATCATCACAGCTTGAATACAGTTTTACGTATAAAGTTGACTGTCTCATATGTTTGTAGAATTTCTCGATGAGGATGATGGTGCCATCTGTGATGTAGCACCGCTACTACTTGCAGGTGATGTTGCCTGTGACGAGACGCTGGATCCATCTAGCGTGGACGCCGGATAGACACATCCCAATGGCGGAGCCGCGTAATACGGAGCAAAGAGAGCCGAGTATTGTTGCACGGAGGGAAAGTAGTGCGGGGGAAACAGCCCCTGCCTCTGTGCGATTTTAAGGCGAGACGTTAGTTGTTTCTTCCATTTTGTTCGTCGATTTTGAAACCATGTCTTAATCTGCACTTCCGTTAGGTTCAGTGCTTTGGACAGCTCCATCCGCTTGCTTACGCTGAGGTATTTATCAACCTAGAATCATGAAAAAGATAAGGTTAGTATTGGATGTTACTTGTACTTCTTAAATTTACATCTTTTTCTGGGAGAAATTGGTACTCACACACAACGTAAAGTATACAAATCGATAACTTTTGTAAAAAACGGTTTCTCACGTGGTGTATATTTAAGGAACATCAGGGGAAAAATATTTTATGGCAGTGAGGAGCATTTTACCTCACTGTTACCTCTGCAAAACCCGTTCAACAATTATTTCTGTGCCTTTGCCCCTTCTGCTACTTATATTTTCGTCTGATGAAGTGTGTTAGGTTAGGTTAGGTTAGGTTACGTTAGGTTACGTTAGGTTAGGTTAGGTTAGGTTACGTTAGGTTAGGTTAGGTTAGGTCAACGTCAGAATGTCTTCGTATCTGGAGAAAATTCCATAACGAGGAGCTTCATAATTTGTACTCTTTACCAAATATGTTAGTATTATTACATTAAAGACAAAATGAAATTGGCAAAGTGTGCAAGACGCATGTCAAAGTTTAGTCTGAAAAACTTAAAGAAAGTTACTACTTGGGAGATTCATTCGTAAACGGGAGGACAATTAAAATATATTGTAGGAGATTTCAGAAAGGACTCCCTAAGAACTGGTTTTTCTAGGAAAACCGAAAATATTTCGGTTAGTCCGCATGCAACTCACGTGGCGTGTGCCACAGCCGACATTTGTCTCACTGCCTTGCGCCACGTCTCGGTGTGAAGGTCTTCAAGTCGTGAAGTACTGTGTTTGACTCCAGCGTCTTACTTTTTTAAATTATCTTCGCTCAGTTCATAAGACGAATGAAAATCCCGCGTAATTACCTTGAATTCGGCCTCCAGTCTTTCTAGCTGCTTCGCGCTGTAGGCTTGCCTTGGCTTCCTGTCAATTCCAGGTTTTCTCGTTCTCCTCCCAACGGGTTTTGGCGCTGAAATGCAAGCACCAGGATCTGAGTAACGTAATTAATTAACAGAGACCAAAATTTCACTAAATAATATATTATTTCCAGAACACGAAATAATAATAATAATAAAAAAGTAATACCAACTGACAGGAATGTGATTAAGAAGGGAGCGGAGAGGATCTTGAAATACAAGGACCTTCTCATAGAAATACAGAGAATGTGGAAGGTTCAAGCAAAATTAATCCCAAAAATTATAGGAGCAGCAGGAACTGTCTCCAGGTCACTCAGGAAATATTTGGCCAACATCCCGGGCGAACACGACATCAGGGAACTTCAGAAGACCGCCATTTTAGGATCTTCATGCATCATTCGAAAGACGCTTTCGTAAAATAAAATTATATAATACATGTAACACGTTTTAAAAAAAAATGTATTTCGTAATAAGTTGTTGCCCTATGTACCTTAGGGACAAGGTCTGTCTCGGGTCCATGGAAGTAAAAATCTTATAAAGTGGTGATAATAATTATGAGAGTATCTTAACGTACTGATTGACAGCTACAGAAGTCATTTACAGAGTCAGCACAAAAAGATGAAACGTGAGCGGAGAACAGGAAAAAAGGTAACAACAAAACTTGTTCAGTAGTAACAGAAATTTCCATCATGTATGCAATTTAAATAAATTAAGTAATTTGGCTCGAATTGTATTAAATCTGCTCATAAGCCAAATTTCTTGTGTTTTTAGTCTGCAAGTTTACATTACGTAAATATAAAACAAACAACACACGACGACCTGTAATATAAGAAAGTAGGCTTTATGAATTCTGTCTACGTGTGATCTTGGAAGCAGCGACTTGCCTTCTGATTGATTTCTTCCCCAAATTTCTTGTGCAGACACCAAGATCGTAGGCGGTAAATTTGATTTTAATTGTTCTTAACAATAATTTAGCAATAAACAAATGGCCTGCAAACGTTATTATAGGTTCCTCGAGATATGAAAAATTATTCTGGAAAACACTAATCTAACTTAATATCATATTGCACACACGTGTTGAAGGAAGATCCTGTGTTCTTATACTTAAATTAAAATTAAAGAATTTTATCCGTAAAAATGAAATGTGTTTTTCTGTGGTCCCAAATCCTTCACCTGTGGAATGCGTTAAATCAATTTTTTTTAACTGCGTTGAGTGTAGGAGTTATTTGTGTTAAGAAAATAAAATAAAATAAATTAAATGAAATGCACATAAGAGGCTCGGTTCGGTGTAATAAAGACGCAATTTCCGGCTGGCCTCCATTCTCATGTTATAACAAGTTTGCCTCCTTCATTAACACCTTAACACCCCCCCGCCCACTAATTTCATTAAAAAGGAATAAAACGTTACCCCATAAACTGGAACCCAACAATATTTTTTAGCCCGTGTTAAAGTGTTCACAAAAGAGAGTCGATAGTTCTCTAAACACTGTATAAACTTTCGTTTTACACTTTAGAGCTGTGGGCACGAGTTTAGTTTGTCTTTGCAGTTGTCACGTTGTCACGTTGTCACTTCTCATGACTATAAAAATGTGTTTATTTGCTCGACAAACACGGCTTACTAACGCCACACTTGAAACAAGGAGGGGAAACATAAAGGCTCGAAGAAAATGCAGTCATATTCTCTGTTCAGGCTCCTTTTTGTACGAGTGCTAATCGGCTGGACTTGCACATAACTTTTACGACAAATATTGTTCTCTCTACCAACTCGTAGCTGCACGTTTCGAAATGTCACCCACCATTTTACGGCCTGACACGAACGCAGAGTCACTGATTATTTGTGTTATCTCTGCCATGCTCAGAGAATGACACTTCAGATTTTATATTATGTACAGTTTTATGAAATTCGAAATAAAAAAGTTTTAATACAACTAAAATCCTTTACAGTTTCCACAGCTCAGATTCGGGCATAAAACAGCTGTTTCCTTATGAGTGGCAAACGACGTCATAACCAAATTACGATAAGGTTCATTTTTGCCTGACTAAACATTTCTGACAATTGAAGATTCATTAAACAAGATGGAGTAGTGACCTCATCTGCATAACGTCCATAGTCGCAAGAGTGAGATTTAGTCCAATTATGACCTGCGGTTTAATTTGTTTAATGGCTGGAACCACAGTCAAAATGACTGGAAACTGACTACATTTTAATTTGATTCTCTACCAAATTAAGCCCCCTGTCCCACGGACACGAGAAGACGTTTCCCAGCGACGAGGTTAAAGATTTTTGAAGCCGACCACCACCTCCGTCTAGTGGCGAGGTAAATAAACTGCAAATCAGTGCACTTTATGAAATTTGCGAGAAGATTTATGCAACCAAAATTTCCCACAACTTCGATTTAATGTAACGATGAATTCTAAATTCGCAGGTATTAAAGCATGGATGTCTTCCTCAGAATGGAACTCTACTGAGGATAATTTGTCCTATTTCGGAGACAAAAATACTGTTGTACAAATGTTGCAAATATTTAGAATTAAATGTTTCGTTCTTAAAGAATGTAATCGCATGCCTCGCGTTAATTTACAGAAGAAAATTCTGAAATTTCTGCTTAAATATCAATAATGAAACCGGGTACATTGTTTTAATACATTACGTAACATGCCTGATAGAGAAGTTTTGTTTTTAAGAGGTGGTACGTCTTTGTTTCTCCCTTTATTTCTTTACATAATTTCCTCTGATTTAATTACGTATTTCGGAATTATTGCACGTTGATTTTGAACAGAACCTCATAGAACACCGCTATATTTTATCTTAAAGAGACAGAGATTAAGTCGCCACTTAAATCAACGCACTCATCATTTAAAGCGTCGCCGTTCCAAATAATATATGCCAAAAATGACAAAAATATTTTATTTGGAAATTAATTATTTTTAAGTAATCCCACTGCTTCATAATGCATTTGGTCGAAACGATCCACAATCTTTCTGATTCCACTGGAATGAAATATTCTCAGTTGTAAACCTTGGCTTGGCTCGTGAAAATTAGTTCAATTTTTCTTAAATCCCCCAAATTTGGGGCTTCCGGTACCAATTTTGAAGTAAAGAAAAATTGCCTTTAGTTTGACGTGTTGTCATGGCGACCTTAGGACAAACATGTACACAGCGCTGGGCAGTTCGTCACAGCGAATACAATAATAAATAAGACTATCGAAGAGCTACAAAAACTTCAGGGCAAATGGAAAGATTTCACTCAATGGGACACGAAGTTTACATAGGATTTTGGTCGAAAAACTCACTAAATATTTTTCGAAAATGTCAAACAGATAAAAACAAGTTTCAGATTCACGAGTTTTGTGATAACTGTTACGAACGTACACGTTTAAACGACTTTGACTACCTCATGACTATAATTTATTATGTGAGAGATTTGTTTTCAGTAAATTAGATTTGTAGTTAGTTAATTTCATAAGTAATTATTTTGTTATTTAATTAATATACTAGTTAATGAGTCGGTAGGTTACTTAATCACGTAGTTGGTCGGAGGACTTAGAGTTGTGACGCATCGAGAAGATTCCACTAACTTGGTGGTCCGACCGGGGTCCTGGCACTGTTACCAAGTGTTAATGACAGAGGGTTCACTTGTTTAACAGCTCCAGATGTGTTAAGTAATTTGTATTCGTCCAGGTTATTATGATGTATATATACTGTGACAACTTCACTATTTGTGTTTCGCGTTTAATGCTATTGAGCTAACAAGACGTTTCTTATCGCTTAATAAGATGGAGAGTTCATTTAGAAGAAAATCTACGATGTGGTATTAGAATTCTGTTTGTGTCGAAATAATGAGAATTCAATGATGTTCTGTTCGTGCGTTTAAATTACATTTTACGATATTCTTGAGCCACGACAGCCAATTAAGGATCTCACCGCAGTATCTGCCTCACCTGCAAACATTTTCACCTGGACTTAAACCCAAGAAGTTTCTTCAGTTCTGTGCATTGTCTAACTGAAACAAACCATGTCGATGCCATTTTTCCGTCGTGATCGTTTGCTGTGGTACATGAACTATCAGCTCTGTGATTTAAACGTAGGACAATTAAGAATCTTGTACTTCCTAAGGTCTATTACTTCTTTCAAGGCAATAGCCTCAAAGTCTGCTGAAAAATTCGTGGACCGAGAAATATTTGACTCTGGCAAGCGTATCTTGCGTTGAATCGATCTTCGGAGCAAATCCCTCCTGCATCAGCACAGTGGCGTTTTGAAAGAGGAAAGGCCTAGCTCCTGCTTTGTCTTGATTTCGGGATTGAATGGGGCGAGGACCCCTGGTGGGTACTTCTTAGTGGGAACGTCGGGCTAGGTCCCACGAGGCCGTTCTCAGCCACTGGATGGCTCCTACTCGTGCCGTTACCATCCCCTCACATCGACCTGCACTTCAGCTAACTGCTACTCGTTCTTTGCCAATTTCTTGGGCAATGGCGAAGTGCCCTCCGGAGGGAACCACAAGACGAATCCTGCAACCCCTGAGAAGGCCAGAGCCGTCGAAGCCTTCTTGACGATTTCCATGCCACAATGTTTCAGTAGCTCTTAATTAACATTTTTCTGCAATACAAGAACACGAAATGGCCGATATAATTGAAAAACGAAGCAACCATCAACTTCCATTGGTCAGCCACTGGTGAGCGCATCTTTTCAAGTGCTACGAGTAAGCTCGTAAGTGTATCAGAAAACCAGCGAGCAGCAAAGAATGTTTATATATTTCCTAATAATTAATTATATATTGTGGAATTAAATGCATTATCATTATTTTGAAATAATTAGTTGCAACTTTTCGAAATAAACAATACTTTCCATCATGTAAACTTCGCCTTCGTACCTGAAACACATTGCCAAAGGCTCCTTTCGTGTTTCTGCCTTCGTGAAACGAGTGTCTTGCACTTTTACAAGTAAAATGATGTTTTATCGTCCATCAGTTATTTACGTAGAGTCGCATATTTATGCACGTGGCATTTTAGCAACTGAATTTTGAAAGCAACGGATTAAATCCAGATTTCGAATT